ATGGATAAAGATCCATACAACAACAAAATCCAGAATATGCTCAACGATGGAAGTTACTCAAAAATAAAAAAATGACCCTACTAACAGCCTAGCGATAAAAACCAACAAGATCATCACAAGTTCGACCTCCCTAATCGACCCAACTAAACGTCCCTCCCTAAAACCTTCTGCTGCAAGACCCCCTAGATTCTATGGTCTTCCCAAGATTCATAAAGAAGGCACCCCACTTCGACCCATCATATCCACGATCAACTCCCCTACCTATAGACTAGCCCGTTTTCTGTCAGATACCTTGCTGCCTTTCACTGGAAAGACCGCCTCAGCAGTACTTAACTCAGCCCAATTGGTCTCTATGGTCAAAGACGTTGTACTGTCCCCTGACGATATCCTTGTAAGCTTCGATGTGGTCTCTTTGTTCACCAAGGTCCCAGTACCTGATACCATTGAAATAATTGAAAATGTGGTCCAACATGGACTAGACCCCGACACACCTGCACTGGTTAGGCACTGCCTCAACAATACCTACTTTACTTGGAATGGCTCCTTCTACAAACAAAATGAGGGTACCCCCATGGGATCCCCCTTATCACCAGTGATAGCCAATATTTTCATGGAGAAATTTGAATCAGACGCCATCCAGACTTCCACCCTCAGACCTTCCCTGTGGAAGAGATATGTGGATGACACTTTCGTCCTTTGGCCACATGGCCTCCCACCTCTGAACCTTTTCCTACACCACATCAATTCCAGACATCCCGCCATCAAATTCACCATGGAAGTGGCGAAAGATGGCAAGCTACCATTCTTAGATGTTCTGTTTGAGAGGAGACCTGATGGATCATTGGGGCATTCTGTCTACAGGAAACCCACCCACACAGATTCCTACTTGAAACCTGATTCCCACCACCACCCAGCCCAAAAGAATTCTCTCATCAAAACTTTATACCATAGGGCTCATTGCATTTCGGACCAACACCACCTGACCAGTGAATTAAAACATGTACACCTGGCCCTCAAAAGGAATGGTTACTCTGACCGTACCATCCGACAAGCTGTTTCTCCCTCCATACAGAAACAACCACTTGATACTCCGGTCAAAACCATCACACTTCCATATATAGCAGGCGTTACTAAAAAGATTTCCAAAATTCTAAACAAACACAAGATCCAGGTCCGGTTCAATACAGTACACAAAATTCGTGATCTGATCCCATCCGTGAAGGATGTCATTCCTGATTTACAGTACCCCGGGGTTTACAAATTGAGTTGTACCTGCGGTGATTGCTATATCGGGGAGACAAAGCGACATGTCTCTGACCGAATTCGCGAGCACAAATCAAATTTGAAACACGGCAAAACGAATTCTTCTACCATGGTTGATCACTGTTACAACGCTGTGGGGGATCACGATATTATTTTCTCCGATACCAAGGTTCTTTGCAAACCCATGGGCTTTTATCAGAGATTTGTTCATGAAGTAATTCAGATCTACAAACACAGACACAATTTCAACCGAGAGGATGGTTTCAAATTAAGCAACCATTGGAAAGATGTTCTAAATCGAACTAAACATTAAACGAATTTCAATGGTACAGTATATTTTTTCAAGTAGTGGTACCCCAAACTTTCGCAGCTCTTATAAATTCCCTTTTCACGCCATGAATAGGTAAACTCCCCCTCCCCCCCTTCCCCCTCCCCCCGCACCAAACGGCAAGTCCACCGGCACGTACACCACCTCTTTCCTAAATCCGCCAATCAAATGCTAATTTTTATGCTAATTTCTTTGTCAGAACACCTTGTTTGCTCGAACACAGTTTAAAGGTCCGCTGTCTGAGCGTGGTTGTGTTTCGCTAAATTCTCCCGTTTGATGAGTACTAGGTGCCTTGGTGAATGTATATGCTCTGACTTTAACATAGCTATTTCTGTGACCAGTTACAAGCTAATCACTGAGCTATTTCAATGCTAAATTCTATGCTAATTCCTTTGTCAAGGGGTACCTCTGCGGATGTGTATACTTTAACTTAGCTCAGTGGTTCTTAACCTTGTTGGAGGTACCGAACCCCACCAGTTTCATATGCGCATTCACCGAACCCCTCTTTAGTGAAAAATAAAATGTGATTTTTTTCAAATTCAAGACATAGATATGTTTTTTACTGGTACACAAAATGAGCCGTGCATGAACATTACCTTGTTCAAAGAATAAAACCAACACAATGCATAAACTCACAACAAATTACATACCTGGAAATCAATGTGACTTCTGCTGTTGCCTTTGAGAGATCAGTTCAGATATGCGTGGCTTCACCTTGGCAAGTGCCACTCTCATGTCATTTTCACAGCAAAGTCTGTTCCTTTTCTTCGTTTTTATGTCCAGCATCCTCGAAAAGGATTGCTCACAAAGATATGTTGTAACAAATGGTATAAAAAAATCCAGGGCTTTCTTAGCAATAACTGGATACTTGTTCATTTGTCGACACCAAAACGTTGAGAGCGTTGTTGTTCTGAAGAGTTGCTGTTGAACCTGGCTCTGCTGAATTTCAATGATTTCGTCGAGGAATTCATCATTGACATCTGCTGTTTCAACAGCAAACGTGAACGGCTGTCTCACCCATGCTGGATATGACTCTCTTGTCGGGAAATATCCGTCGAGAGACTTTGCAAGCTCATCTAAGTGCGTGGCAATTGTTTGCTTCAGTTCCGTGGATACAGAAATATCTCCGATTCCAGACACATCTTCGATCTTACTTGCACAGTCGTCCAGAAGCGGGAAGTTTGCGAAGTTATTGTTCTCTGTTCGTCGTTTCCATAACGGTAGCTTTTTTTGAAAAGCCTTCAGGTGTTCTTCCGCTTCCATGATATTGACTCCACCACCCTGCATCTGCTGATTGAGATGATTGAGAGCTGCGAATATATCAGCCATGTACGCTAAAATGAGAATGAACTCAGGATTTTTGAAGCAATCTGCATGGCAGTGTTGGTGCTCTTGCAAAAACAGGGCTAATTCCACACGCATGGCAAAAACACGATTCAGCACCTGTCCCCGGGATAACCACCGAATATTAGAATGGAGCAGAAGTACCTCAAATTCAGAGCCCATTTCTTTACACAGCTCACTGAAGATGCGGTGCCTCAGAGCACTTTTTCGCACATAGTTCACACATTCCACCACAGTTTTTAATACTTCTGCCATTTTTGGAGGTAAGGTTTTTGTTGCCAACGCATGCCTGTGCAGAATACAATGCGTCACAATGATGTGTGGTGCATCGGCCTTTACTAGCGCACCAAAACCAGACTTTCTTCCCAGCATGACTGGAGCTCCGTCCGTACAAACTGCAGAAACCATATCCCATGAAAGATTGTTGTCTCTGAAGAAGTCATCCACAAGCTTCTTCACATCGGCTGCCTTCGTTGTTGTTGTAAGAGGCTTACAAAATAAAAACTCTTCTTTTATCATGTCGTCTTTCACATAGCGTACAAAAACAGCAAGCTGGCTTAGATCAGAAACGTCTGTGGTTTCGTCGAGTTGAAGGCTGAATTTTGCCGGGCTTGAAATCAGATCCGCGACTACTTGAGCCAAGATGTCTTTACTCATGTCTTCTATTCTGTCACTGACGGTGTCATTTGAAAGGGGAATTTGGGATAATTTACCTTCGGCCGCTGTTCCGAGTATCAGATTCGCCATCTTTAATGCAGCTGGTTTCACAAGTGTTTCACCAATGGTGTGTGGCTTGCCCTGCTTTGCGATCAGGTAAGCAACTTCGTACGATGCTGTCAGGATCGGTTTGTTAACAGGTACAAATCCAAGAGCAGGCAGAGTGGCCCTTTCATCGAATCTGGCTCTCTTCACCCTGAATTCAGCAAGTGTTGTGTTCTTGTATTCCCCGTCTCCATGCAGCTTCAAGAAGTGTTCCTTTAGTTTTGCCGGTGCAAGACTAGAGTTGCTCAACTTGGCGTTGCAAATCATGCAGATAGGACGCTCACTCCCATCACGTTCCGTGATACATGAGAATCCATGTTGTACATATTCGTCCGACCACTTTCTTATTTTGCCCGACATAGTATGGATAAAATATTAAAGAAATCACACGACGTACGACAACAACAGTCACACGTTGACTACTGAGTACGCACTAAATTCCCCGCAGCGCTGATTGGCCAAGCAGTGTAGCATGATCATCTGCAGCCAGTGATGGCCAAGCGGGCCGTGTGTGTCATCACAAATTTACACAATAATTCAAGTGTGTCCGGACCTCCGTGGCGGGGGCTCTGCCGAACCCCTGAGATCGACTCACCGAACCCCTGGGGTTCGATCGAACCCAGGTTAAGAACCACTGACTTAGCTATTTCAATGAGCCATTTCAATGCTAAATTATATGCTAATTCCTTTGTCAAGGTGCTTTGTGTTTTTCTTCTCACACAGCTTAAAGGTCGTGATCTAAGCATGGCTTCTCTTACTCCAGCGCTGTCCTCCAGACAGTGTCGTCCCTTTACCTGATGAAGGCCACTTGTGTTGTGGCCGAAACGTCGTGATTTTTTGTTAAATTATTTTCACCTACGTGACTTTACCCAATAGAACCAAAGAGTATGGATCCTAGCAGTCACGAAAGCTTTAAATCTAAAATTAAGTCTTGCTTTGCAGTTACTAGCTACTTAAAGATACATCACGAAATGGACAAATGATTAAAATATTTATGCTCATTATTCATACATTTATATCTTAGAACCGTATTGGGTCGGGCAAAGTGCTCAGTTGAGACAAAATTCAACGAGTAGGGTAACAGTAGCAGCAACATAAGGTTGAGAACAACTGCCATAGACAATGACGACGATGACAATGATTAATTTTAGAATATTATTTAATGATTAAGATGTAACCCAGACAACACCTTCCCTCAGAACCCACAAATGGACGGAATTGGTGGAATGGTTTCACTTTAGAAACCCGGCCCACTGCCCCCCCCCCCCCACCACCCCACCAACATTTCGTCACCACTCCGGACCGTTGCACGCACTCAAGGAACTCCGTGACTTCGCCGGTGGAATCAACGACAGCACGCGGCTGTGACGACGACGAGCAGCGCGCCCAGGGAGAGCCCAGACATGGCGAGGGCCGCGCGCCCGGCAGAGTTGCCTGGCTTGGTTGAGGTCTTAGTTGTTGGATTGATTGTGGAATTAGCTGGTGGCTTGGTTGTGGCTACATAACCTGCAGCACACACAAGGGAATGAGATTTTTTGTAAATATTGTCATCGCTCCTCTCACACAAAATAGAGAGTTTTTGCATGTTAAGCCTTATCCACGACTTGCAAGGCCTGGTATTGTGGCTATGCATGCCTGCGATCCAGCGCTGTGGAGTCAACGAGAGTTGGTGGACCACGTATGTATGTTGAGCTTCTTTCGCACCGTACATAGCCAACCATGCTTATCGGAGGTTCAGGTGTCACACACAAACATTGTAAAACTCCCTCCACATGGATTTCGAGGAGGTGCCCCCATATCCTTGGCTCACCAGGAGAAGGTGGCACAGCAAGGTGCGGACTGTAGTATTACCTATCTGGCCCATCTGTATGAGACAGAGTGTTGTCCCCTGGATACACATGTTGGGGTTTCTCTGGGCCCTCGCACACGCGTGAGCACGAGGTTTTGTCGCTGACGTACATGCGGAAGGAGGTTTGTGGGCTTCGATGGCGCCGGTGGATCATTGTGACTGGGCGCTGCCGGCATGGAGCAGGTCTCTGGGTGATTTCCAGAGGTCACGAGGGCCACCCAAAGGCGGTTGCCATGCGATCGTTAATATAATGGAGTTAATTTGGTGGTTCCGCCATACTTCACAAGGCTCGTGTGAAGGTAGGCGCTGCCTGTCACGGTAGTTTATGAGTTGGGGAAGCGGTATTTGGCAGTTAGCGTGATGCGCTGCGAACCTGGCGACCCGCGTTTGTTTCCTGCTCATGCCCATCAACACCGGTGACGATTATCTGAACTGTTCCTGAGCCTCCCCTAGGTCGACTCACCCTCAAATGAGTACCTGGTGTTGTGTGAAACATTGCGGCTAGGGAAACAAAAGCGACCAGGCGTGGTTCTGGCCACCCACTCCCTTGTGTGCCACGGTACCGGCCTTCAGAGTTGTTGCTACTCGCTAACAACACTTACCCGACCAGTCGAAGGCTATATGGCTGATGTTTGTGTTTCAGGAGCGGGACATGTTGCAGGTAATTTTCTGTCCACATTGAGATGCTTGACCAATACCAGTCACATTGGAAGAAAACGGAGCACTCAGAGGAAACCCATGCAGATGAGGGGGGAAGTTACAGACCAACACACGGAAAGGCACCTGAGTGGGAAATCAATCCCAGCCACTTGTGGGTGGACCACCACTGCACTCGTGAACTCACCTGAGGCATTGACCTTTACCGACTGCACGTTCATTTGCCATTCGGGTTCCGTCTTGACCACGGTCGCTCTGTGGGGTGGACACACAGGTCAAGCGTGTAACAACTTGAGGCGTTGCCTCCACAGAGTCGCCAGTGTGAGCTTACACGTGATGAATCTTACGTACAATTGTGCACTGCTGCTATGTGTTGCTGTGATTGCTACAGAGAGTCAGCTGTTTTTTTAGTATAAGTGACGGTGATGATCAGAGATACAGTGAGGGAAAAAAGTATTTGTACCCCTGCTGATTGTATACGTTTGCCCACTGACAAAGAAATGATCAGTCTATAATTTTAATGGTACGTTTATTTGAACAGTGAGAGACAGAATAACAACAAAAAAATCCAGAAAAACGCATGTCAAAAATTTTATAAATTGATTTGCATTTTAATGAGGGAAATAAGTATTTGACCCATCTGCAAAACATGACTTAGTACTTGGTGGCAAAACCCTTGTTGGCAATCACAGAGGTCAGACGTTTCTTGAAGTTGGCCACCAGGTTTGCACACATCTCAGAAGGGATTTTGTCCCACTCCTCTTTGCAGATCTTCGAGTAATTAAGGTTTCGAGGCTGACGTGTGGCAACTCGAACCTTCAGCTCCCTCCACAGATTTTCTATGGGATAAAGGTCTGGAGACTGGCTAGGCCTCTCCAGGACCTTAATGTGCTTCTTCTTGAGCCACTCCTTTGTTGCCTTGGCCGTGTGTTTTGGGTCATTGTCATGCTGGAATACCCATCCACGACCCATTTTCAATGCCCTGGCTGAGGGAAGGAGGTTCTCACCCAAGATTTGACGGTACATGGCCCCGTCCATCGTCCCTTTGATGCGGTGAAGTTGTCCTGTCCCCTTAGCAGAAAAACACCCCCAAAGCATAATGTTTCCACCTCCATGTATGACGGTGGGGATGGTGTTCTTGGGGTCATAGGCAGCATTCCTCCTCCTCCTCCAAACACGGCGAGTTGAGTTGATGCCAAAGAGCTCCATTTTGGTTTCATTTGACCACAACACTTTCACCCAGTTGTCTTCTGAATCATTCAGATGTTCATTGGCAAACTTCAGACGGGCATGTATATGTGCTTTCTTGAGCAGGAGGACCTTGCGGGTGCTGCAGGATTTCAGTCCTTCACGGTGTAGTGTGTTACCAATTGTTATCTTGGTGACTATGGTCCCAGCTGCCTTGAGATCATTCACAAGATCCTCCCGTGTAGTTCTGGGCTGATTCCTCACCGTTCTCATGATCATTGCAACTCCACGAGGTGAGATCTTGCATGGAGTCCCAGGTCGAGGGAGATTGACAGTTCTTTTGTGTTTCTTCCATTTGCGAATAATCGCACCAACTGTTGTCACCTTCTCACCAAGCTGCTTGGCAATGGTCTTGTAGCCCATTCCAGCCTTGTGTAGGTCTACAATCTTGTCCCTGACATCCTTGGAGAGCTCTTTGGTCTTGGCCATGGTGGAGAGTTTGGAATCTGATTGATTGCTTCTGTGGACAGGTGTCTTTTATACAGGTAACAAGCTGAGATTAGGAGCACTCCCTTTAAGAGTGTGCTCCTAATTTCAGCTCGTTACCTGTATAAAAGACACCTGGGAGCCAGAAATCTTTCTGATTGAGAGGGGGTCAAATACTTATTTCCCTCATTAAAATGCAAATCAATTTATAAGATCTTTGACATGTATTTTTCTGGATTTTTTTGTTGTTATTCTGTCTCACACTGTTCAAATAAACCTACCATTAAAATTATAGACTGATCATTTCTTTGTCAGTGGGCAAACGTACAAAATCAGCAGGGGATCAAATACTTTTTTCCCTCACTTTAGGGACCCCAAGCCTCACGTGCACAGCAGGCCATGCCCAGCAGTGTGTCGACTATTCAGAGTATGGGGCGGACTTTCCTGAGGGACTGAGCTGAGGTGTTTCGTGACGTGGAGGGTGATAGGGGGCGTGTCTGGTCATGGTGGCTGGCACGCAAACGCCCCTCAGAAGAACGCTCTGAAATAACCTCTGGTGCTCATTTCTTGTGGAGTCTCCCACTTCTCAGAACACAACGCAGAGTGTCTTCTCGTCATCGTCTCAGAACTCTCTGATCTTTGTTGTCTATTTAGCCGACCTGTCCCCCAAGTAACGAGGACCGGCTACACCTCCATGGAGTCGCCGATGTGGAATCATAAACAAAAGTCGTCGCGTGGAACCAATCCCCAATGTTCTTGGGAGAGGACGTCCATCTAAGGACAATGCAACCGCTTAGTGGCCAAAAAACGCCGATATTTAAAACCAAATAACCGGAGATTACTCGGTGGAGATGACGTAGAGCAGGATCTTACCCCCTAGATGCGAAACTTTGACAGGACCCTCCTGAGAAAAGGGTCTTGAGATTTGGCGAGACTCTCCCAGGTAGACAAGCGGAGTAATATTAAAGTAAGGGAGTTGCAGTCCAAGGTAAGCCTTTGAACGTGAACTCTGTCACCTCAACACATTCCATAACGCTTCAGGGAATTGCTCCGTTACAATGCACCACACCGAACCCCTTCTACCCGCTCCTTTTGTCCTCTTCTCTGTCCTTTCTGGAACCTTAAAGGCCTCTCCACCAATCTCCTTTTGTCTTTCCTACCGGTCTCCGCGTTGTACCAGGCACGTTCTGCGTTATAATGGGGCACGTTCCGCGTTATAACATCACATAACGGCAACATAAACGTTCCCTAACGGAAGAACCGTGTTATAGCGAAAACGCGTTGTAGTGTGAACACCGTCACGCATTAAGCGAGGACTCACCGTATCCCTTCATAGGGTTCTCTAGGCATTCCTTACACCAATCATATTTTTATTTACCTGGTATAAGACCCATTGAGCTATATGGATATTTTGCAGAAGCGATCTGGCCACAAATGATACCTCATCGAAGTGGCTGATGTGGAAATTAATAGCAGCCAAATACTCTAAATATGTGGCCATTCTAAATGTGGAGGGAAAAACTGGAGGACCCGGAGAAAAATCCACCTGACCACATTGAGAGAGACATGCACACTCCAAATATATAGGCGTCGGGGTCGGGATCGAACCCACAGCTTCCTGTATACCAGGCGAAGGTAGTTAACATCTCGTAGCCACTGTGGCGTGTAATTAGTACTAATATCCATAATAATCCAGTGGGCTGTGTGCGTAAGAGTGCCCTGTGACGGTGAACTCACACAAACACTACGGAGCTGGGAGGGTTTGTAGTCGGCGGGATCCAAAACAAGCTCAGGTTCGTCTTGGAGGTGCTGGTGGAGTGCGTCACCGCGGCCTTTGGCACGGAATTGCACTGCGAGACACAGAAACAAAACGACAATGGACATTGTTATTGAAGCTGGAATGAACCCAATGAGCCTATGGAGCCCTTTGTTGGCTGTTGTACAGCCCAGACCGGGTTGGCAATGATGGAAACGTGCACAGGATGACCACGTGCCCCAGCCGTGTTTATCCCCCGTCCCTTACCTCGCCTTGAGTTAAAGGGGCTTTGCGTGCTTAGAAAGGGCCATTGTCCAGCCTGAAACATCCCGAACCCGCGCATTAACCACCCACCACATTCTATTCATTTCGTTACGAATTGCCATGTTTTGATACTTGACAAACCTCACTAATTGGCTGTGTCGGGTGGTGGCAGATTAAACGACATCCGCCAAGAGTGAGGATCAAGAACCAAAAGGAGTGATGGCAGGACCCAAAGAGTGACTAACGTAGGCGGTGATGAGAAGGAAACTGGCACTGTGGGCACACAACATGTAGGATGGAAATTAAAAGTGTTGTTCAGAAATATGAAAGGAACAAGAACGAGAGAAAGACCTCAGACAATGGCTTGACGACGACATAAGAGATTGGTGCTAGCAAGATGTGGCTACTACTTGAGCAAGTTGCGCAAGACAGAGGAAAGTGGAAACAAATGACGAGATGTGCAGTGGACACCTCCGGGCTATCTGCCCATGGATCGTGATTATGAGGATGATCTTCTTGGTTCTTTCGGTAAAGTCTCTCCAGCGCTGTCCTCCAGACAGTCTCGTCCCTTCACCTGATGAAGGCTGCTTGTGTTGTGGCCGAAACGTCGTGAGAATATTATTGTGTTATTTTATTTTATCAATTTATTATTTTATTATCATTCTACGTGACTTTACCGAAAGAACCAAAGAAGATGAATCCTTGCAGTCACGAAAGCTTTAAATCGAAATTCATGAGGATGATGTCAACCAAGGGATGAGTCACCGGCACGAAGATGTTGTCTGCAGGTGGGGTGTCCCATGTGCCCACGATGGTCGTGGTGTCGGGTATTCGCGCTTGCAGGAAGTAGCCCTCGAAGGTGCCCACGATGGTGACTGCGGACAGACACAAGGAGGCGACAATTTGTGAGACGCTCGCAGCCCCCCCACCACCTTAGCTCGGCTGTCGCGCTTCTCGCCCCTTTCGTGACACGAGCTGTGGCTGGGATGACTCCACAGTAAAAGTGGACAATCCGGTTCGTTTTAAATTCCCCGTGATTTTAAGCCCAGCGCTCTCTTGAATTGGAGACGGACCGGGCTCTAGGGGACAAGTCGGCTTAGCCACTGGAGACTCCACGCAGACATTTTTCTCAGCGCGAGGTTCTATCAGAACTCCGCCATTTCTTTGTTCATGATCATTTGCAAAAGTCCGTCCGTCACAACTTTGGATCTCCCAAATGGGTCGTCGGGGGGGATAACACACAGAGCACTGCGGTATTGAAATTCAACAGTCCTGGCACCAAATGTCGATACAGTGCATATCAACCATCCCCCATGTCCAAAGGAAATGTGCGAAACACAGACAGTCCTCAACTTAAGAGCATTTACGAACACCCGACGTACGAACTAGCTTCCATGAAATATATTTATTTTGACGTTGACTTAAAACGCGAACTCGCACTTGCAAACTGATCCACGGGAACAATTTTGTTCGGCGGAGCGATCCTGCGCGAGATGTCATGGGTCAATCTTGCGCTGGGAGTGTTTGTGCGTATGTGAAAGTGTGTGTGTGAGAGAGAGCGTGTGTGTGTGAAAGTGTGTGTGTGTGTGAGAGAGAGGCGGTGTGTGTATGGGTTGCGGTGGCGCATTGGTTAGCGCGCTGCGCTATGAATCCGGTGACCCGAGTTCGATTTCCGCTCACGGCCAACACCGGTGGCGATAATCCGAACCGCTCCTTGGCCTCCCCGAGGTCGACTCAGCCCCAAATGAGTGCCTGGTGCAGTGTGTAAATATTTCTACCACGGAGACGAAGGCGGCCGGGCGTGGTGCTTCCCGCTCACCCCCTCGTGTGCCGTGCCGGCCTTCATAGGCGCTGCTCTCCAACAATGTGTTAAAGCTAAGTGGGGGATCGGTGGAGTGTGTGTGCGTACGTATCCTGTGTGTGTTTATGTGTGTGCGTGCATGCCCTGTGTGTGTGTCTGTGTGTGCATCTGTGTGTGCGCCCCGTGTGTCTGTGTGAGTGCAATTTTGGTGACTAATTGCGTCCCTTCCGACAAGCACACCAGCATCAGGACTCAAGGTAAGTGAAAATAAACGGAATTTGTACATGTTATGTTACTTTATTTTGCGTTTATTTTTACTGTACAGTAGTTTTTGTTCACAGTGTTACATGCAAATGTACAATATTTATTCTCCATTAGTTTAACTGCTTCCATTTTTTTGTTGAACCGTAACAAATTGCATAGCAATGATCGTGTGTCCAATACGGTACGCTATTACGTTTTGACTTACGAACTAATCTTCGTTGGTTCTTTCGGTAAAGTCACGTAGAATGAGAATAAAATAATAAACTAATAAAATAAAATAACACGATTAAAATTCTCACGACGTTTCGGCCACAACACAAGTAGCCTTCTTCAGGTGAAGGAACAGAACTGTCGGACGACAGAGCTTCGTCCCGACAGTTCTGTTCCTTCACCTGAAGAAGGCTACTTGTGTTGTGGCCGAAACGTCGTGAGAATTGTATTGCGTTATTTTATTATTTTATTCTCATTCTACGTGACTTAACCGAAAGAACCAAAGAAGATGAATCCTTGCAGTCACGAAAGCTTTAATGACGAATAATCGTAAATCGAGGCTGCCCTGTCGTAATTGAGTAGAGTACAACTCAGTAGCGTCTGCTCGTTTGCCAAGCGACTCTATAGCTGAGTGAGTGAGCGGTCCGTGGTGGTTGAACGCCGTGCAGATGAGGAGCGGTCAGTCCGGTCGACTGAGTCCTCGATACGGGCTGGAGGAATCCGCACCTGCGACTAGCACGGTTGGCTACGTACGGTGTGAAAGAAGCTCAACGTACGGACAGTCGACGAGCGGAGGGAGTTGTGTCGGGGTGGTGGTGGGTGGTGGGGTCATTCACTCACCGTTAACCTTGGTTGCCAGAGGTGAAGGTGCTGCTGTTGGTGACGATGGAGTAGGGTGTGCCGGTCAGTGTGTTGGGGTCGTGCTGTGGAACCATATCGGTGCAGGCAGATGATGGCGCTCCACTAGAGTAGCCCTGAGTTCCGTGCAGACCCACCAACCCCAACATCCACACAGCCAGCAGCGCCTCCATCATTCGCAGAGAGAGACAAGGCCGCGGCGTTTAAGTCGACTACAAATGTTAGTGGTCAAAATTAATTTATTTCGGATAGTAAAACTCAAAAACTTTTGAGCAAAAATAAATGCTGGGGCCAAATTTTAAAATATAAGCCGGCGAAGGTTAACAGCAAACAACCAAAAAATAATGAAAATGTATTTTGTTCAAATGTTCAAATTGTTCGTGTTTGCGATCGTTCTGGGCGCAAACGGTGAGGGGAGCAGCATAGGTGCTGTGAGCCGGACCTGCGTGGGCGCCTGGGCATTTGAAGTAATCGAGGGATGAGGGGGTGGGAGGCCACAGCGTAGAGTGGAAAAAAGCGGTGGCACTCATTGGTCACCGGTGCCACAGCGATTTAGACAGAATTTGCGCAATGGATATTTTGCATTTTTTTGAATTCTGCTAAAGGGCATGGCGTGACGAGAGGCCACTTCCTTGAGCCATCATTCGTCATGTCCAGGTAGCTTCTTAAAAAGAGCTATGTATTTGGCTCAGTGGGCTTTTACCTGGTAAAAATACAAATTGCAGTTGCTTTCCTACTACTACTAAACGCGTGTTTTAAACGTGGAGAGCAAAAAAACCGGAGGTCACGGAAGAAAAATCCACACAAGCACGGGGAGGGACAGACATGCAAACTACAAACATGCAACAGGCATCATCAGTGTCGGGATGTAACCCACGACTTCCTGTATACCAGGCGAGGTAGTTAACATCTCGTCACACGCAAATACACAGCAGGCATCGTCGCGGCCCTCTGACCGACACCGCGCTGCTGCGCGGGGTTCGTCCTCTCGCTCGGAGAGAGGTCATTCGGGGCTGCGACGTTCGCTTCGAGTCCCCGCGGACAGCGCAACGACGAGACCACCACACCTTGCGCTTCAGCAGAATACGAAAATATTGCGCAACGTTCTGCGTTGACAAAAGTGGGTCCCCCTTTTGTTTGTCTAATCCCCGCTGCGTGTCCCCTCCCCTCCTCCTCCCCCGCTCATCTCTCGAGTATAAGGGTCGGAACTGATGGTGCAAGCTGAACTTGTCTACTTTTATTTATTGAAGGGGTGCCACTGTGACGAGATGCTATCCTCCTCGCCCGGTATGCAGGAGATCGGGGGTTCGATCCCGACCCTGACGCCTGTATATATGTGGAGTTTGCACGTCCTCCCCGTGGTCGCGTGAATTGATTCTCCGCGTCCTCCGGGTTTTCCCTCCACATTTAGAAAATGCGTTCGAGTGTTTAGATTATTTTGCTGCTGTAAATGTCCAAATGATAAGCCACTTTGTTGAGCCTTCATTTCTGCCAAGCTTGCTTTTGAAAAATAAATTAATACCTCAGTGGGCTTTTCAGAAATCTCGTTTTTTTGCATTTTTTTTGTGTTAAGCCAATTTGTCCACTTTTTTCTGCTTTTGAGTTTTACCCTCCTAAATAAACTCTACTGACCACCGACATTTGTCAAAGACTTAAACCCCTTGTCCCCATCTCCCTGGGAATGAGGAAGGCGCTGCTGGCTGTGTGCACGGTGTGCGGTTGGTGGGTCTGCACGGAGTTCAAGGCCACCGTTGAATGGGGATGAAGTAAATTTGTGAACGCGTGAAGGACTGAGCGTGGTGGCTGTCGGTCGGTTGGTCGGTTGGTTGCGGGGACTGCATTTGGGGAAGCCCTGCCCCATGGAGTGGTGGTTCTCAAACCGGGGGTACGTGGTCCCCTGGGGGGGTATACGTGGCAATGTCCCAGGGGGGGTACGCGAGATGATTTATAAATATCTGGAATTCTATCATATGTGAAGAGTCATCGGTGAATAATCATGTGTGAATCTGCGAATATAAAAATAACTACGATAAAATGTAAATATACGGTAACCTAGAACGTTATAAAATACCTTTCTAAACTCAGTGATGGTAAACAATATGGTTGCCAAGAGTAACCAGCAAGAGTGAACAAATTAAGTCTTTACTCTTCGGTTCTATTGGGTAAAGTCACGCAGGTGAAAATAAAATAACAAAAAATCACGACGTTTCGGCCACAACACAAGCGGCCTTCATCAGGTAAGGGACGAGACTGGCCAGTAGGACAGCGCTGGAGTGAGAGAAGCCATGCTTAGATCACGACCTTTAAGCTGTGTGAGAAGAAAAACACCAAGCGCCTTGACAAAGGAATTAGCATATAATTTAGCATTTAAATGGCTCATTAAATAGCTAAGTTAAAGTATACACATCCGCAGAGGTACCCCTTGACAAAGGAATTAGCATAGAATTTAGCATTGAAATAGCTGAGTGATTAGCTTGTAACTGGTCACAGAAATAGCTATGTTAAAGTCAGAGCATATACATTCACCGAGGCACCTAGTACTCATCAAACAGGAGAATTTAGCGAAACACAACCACGCTCAGACAGCGGACCTTTAAACTGTGTGCGAGCAAACAAGGTGTTCTGACAAATAAATTAGCATAAAAATTAGCATTTGATTGGCGGATTTTAGGAAAGAGGTGGTGTACGTGCTGGTCGACTTGCTGTTTGGCGCGGGGGGGGGGGGGGAAGTTTACCTATTGATGGTGTGAAAAGGGAATTTCTAAGAGCTGCGAAAGTTTGGGGTACCACCACTTGAAAAAATATACTGTACCATTGAAATTAGTTTAATGTTTAGTTCGATTTAGAACATCTTTCCAATGGTTGCTTAATTTGAAACCATCCTCTCGGTTGAAATTGTGTCTGTGTTTGTAGATCTGAATTGCTTCATGAACAAATCTCTCATAAAAGCCCGTGGGTTTGCAAAGAACCTTGGTATCGGAGAAAATTATATCGTGATCCCCCACAGCGTTGTAACAGTGATCAGCCACGGTAGAAGAATTCGTTTTTGCCGTGTTTCAAATCTAATTTGTGCTCGCGAACTCGGTCAGAGGACATGTCGCTTTGTCTCCCCGATATAGCAAATCACCGCAGGTACAACTCAATTTGTAAACCCCGGGGTACTGTAAATCAGAATAACATCCTTCACGGATGGGATCAGATCACGAATTTTGTGTACTGTATTGA